ATCGGCGTGATGTTTTCTAATTCCCTCAAACATCAGCATGACGTTTTCTAATTCCCTCAAACCTCGGCGTGACGTTTTTTAATACCCTCAAACATCGGCGTGAAGTTTTCTAATTCCCTCAAACATTAGCGTGACGTTTTCTAATCCCCTCAAACATCGGCGTGACGATTTCTAATTCCCTCAAACATCGGCGTGACGTTTTCTAATTTCCTCAAAATATCGGCGTGACGTTTTCTAATTCCCTCAAACATCGGCTTGACGTTTTCTAATCCCCTCAAACATTAGCGTGACGTTTTCTAATCCCCTCAAACATCGGCGTGACGTTTTTTAATCCCCTCAAACATCGGCGTGACGTTTTCTTATTCCCTCAAACATTAGCGTGACGTTTTCTAATCCCCTCAAACATTAGCCTAAGATTTCTATTTGCTGTAAACATCATACATTGTTATATACTTTGTTCTCATTTGAGAAAATGACATTAAGTGCTTGGATTCAACAACTAATAATTACATGGCCGCTGTCGTCGATGATGCAAAAGACACTTGCTCTTCCAGAACATCTGGTCTTATTATCTTTGTACTTGTTTTTCAGGAGTCTCCTTGTAAATTTGTTCATAGTTTGGCCTAGTTTTTATTGAATTTGAGTTTGGATTATGTTGACATGCATGTATTTTCTGACCCCCCCCCCCCTCCCCCCCTTCAAAGAGCTGGCTACAGGTTCAATAAACTTGGTAGTCATTTGACATATTTGACCCCTGAGACCTTAAAAGAGGTCAAGATCATTCATTTGAACGAATCTAGTTGCTTTTTATCCAGCATGTTGCAGGCCAAATATCACCACCCTGAGCTTTTTTCACATTTAAGAAGCAATAAAAAAAGGAAAAGATTTTAACATAGTTGTGCAAGTAAGTTAATAAACTACACATGAATTGTTTTATAGTTTTAAATGTTTTTATTTAGGCAATAAATTCCGATATAGTTTCTCATTTTAACAGTCATACAACATCTGCTCTTACAAAAAACTCTCACACAAAGGAATCCAGCATACAGATAATTGTAGCAGTGCGATATACAAAAGTTAAAGCTCAGGCGATCTATGTACTCTAGCAAATTAACTGTAAAGAAAACAGAAATTCTACTTACTGGTCCTACAGTAGTAATAACAATTCATAGCTTTACTCATAAAATTGTTTTTACACCCACTTTAGAAGGATGTATTTGGTAAATCAAGACAGTGCCATACAGTCATGTGTTTGCCAGTTAGGGAAATTATACCGGGTAGAGCAGGTGAGCTCAAATTTCCATTTCAATACCAGAAGTACAAGTAGGCAGTTTCTCACTTCACAACGCAATGTTTACAGTTCTGTAGTATGTACTAACTACATATTATACGACACCATATAAAGGAAATGACAAAGCTTGAATTAATGTATTTAATTCTACCAAATAAGGACAGACTTCAATTATTATTTGGTTGGATGCTTGATTAACGGGTTCATAAATGGCTTTGCCTTATAAAAATCTAATTACTATCTGTCTGGCAGGTAAATACTTGATATCAAATGTTTAAAGGAATTATGCAGTATGAAACAAATCACTAACTAATATATTAATGTAACCCAGAGTGATCAATATAATCAAAATGGAAGTTACGGTGAAAACTTCATGTTCCACCATCAAATTTTGAACAGAAAAAGCTTTGCATCTGCCAATATGAATTTGTAGTTTGTCTCAGTAGTGTCAAGGTGAAAGGTCAATAAGACTTAGAAAAATAAAGATAAAACTTAACAAATCTAGAATAACAACATACATAAGTGTGAACACAACAACTATGTATAACCAAGTAGAACAGCAGTCATTCTCCAAACTGATCACACAGTCAAACTTACTTCAGAATACGTTTGTATGATGACGCTGATGACATACAGCCAAACTTACTTCGAATACGTTTGTATGGTGACGCTGATGACATACAGCCAAACTTACTTCAGAATACGTTTGTATGATGACGCTGATGACATACAGCCAAACTTACTTCAGAATACGTTTGTATGGTGACGCTGATGACATACAGCCAAACTTACTTCAGAATACGTTTGTATGATGCTGATGACATAGTCAAACTTACTTCAGAATAGGTCTGTATGATGACGCTAATGACATACAGCCAAACTCACTTTAGAATTAAGCACCAGAAAAAGAGACTTATCAAACAAACCACCTGTTTACATAAATGTATGAAACAGTCTTTCAGTTGCAGGTGGGGGGATATGGAACTTCAATCTGAGGGTGAAGAAGTCTGGATTCACCAAGATTCTATGAACAATTTTTTTTTCAACATTCCTGAAAATAACATCCAATCTCTTTTTTTCAACACCACCGGGTGAATTTTCAACATCTGAAACCTGCCTTAATTAAATGATTGAGAGAGGACATGTGAAATCATAGATTCAAATAAAAATATGAAGTGAGCCAAACAAAAGGCCCATAGGATCTGTATCACTCATCTGGTTTCGTTTGCTGACATTGATTAATTAAAACTAAAGGAAATGTATTTAATACACAAGTATCTTTTTCCCTTATAAGACTCCATCCTTCCTCCAAATGGGGGTACAATATGATGTTTGTACAAAATTGAATTTTCTTCACTTTAGGATGCTTCAGATCAAATCTTGACAAAATTGAATCCTCTTCACCTTAGGATGCTTCAGATCAAATCTATACAAAATTGAATTCTCTTCACCTTAGGATGCTTCAGATCAAATCTAGACAAAATTGAATTCTCTTCACCTTAGGATGCTTCAGATCAAATCTATACAAAATTGAATTCTCTTCACCTTAGGATGCTTCAGATCAAATCTAGACAAAATTGAATTCTCTTCACCTTAGGATGCTTCAGATCAAATCTAGACAAAATTGAATTCTCTTCACCATAGGATGCTTCAGATCAAATCTAGACAAAATTGAATTCTCTTCACCATAGGATGCTTCAGATCAAATCTAGACAAAATTGAATTCTCTTCACCATAGGATGCTTCAGATCAAATCTAGACAAATTGAATCACTCCAACTGAAGAAGAAGAATTTGCTCTATTTCCACTTTTGGGCCTTGTCATTGGTATTTTGAACCAAGTGAGCTAAAAAAACTGTTCAAATTTTTCGGTACATAAATTTATCTCTCACAGATGTGTAATCCATGTCAAATCAACCAGAATTTGATGTTCTCCACCCTAAAGACTGGATCAAATAACACGTATTTCCTTGTCTAGATTTGAACTGCACGCCCTTTGGTTTGGCTACACACCAAACCATGTCATTACAGTGCTTGAGCATTTCAAGTTAAACTCTGGATATAAATGTAGATATTAAAGCCACCGACCCATCTATATTGATCTATCATCCCCCATCCCCACCAAAAAAAAAAAAAAAAAATATATATATATGTATAAAATGAAAAAAACTGAAGTGATTGGACTGATGGGCCATGTATTACTAGAATGTATTCTAGGGTATTTCACTCGCAGATATTCACCATACAAACACATACATACACACACATTAACATTTCCCAAGTATGTTACAATGTACAGTCCCACATCTCCTGGGTAGCGTGTTGGTTAAAACATATATTACAAGTAAACAATTTTAGGAAAATAATATAACATCCCTATGTACATAAAGCACTGATTATTAATGTATATCTTTATACATATATCTCAAAAATTATCAAAATACAGAACTAGGACTTAGCTTCACAAACCTTTTTAGCTAGATTAGGTTTTTCCTCCACTATACTTTCAGCAATGTTTAAGTAAAGGGAATCTATTAAACATTTTTGTGAAACCATTGCTATACACCTTGTTTAACAAAATACTTCCAGCCATGTCATAATCCAAGGGTATTATAAACATATCAGACATGTAAAGGAATCTTCAACGTTAAAAAAAATAAATGGTGAATGAAAAATTCTCTATAACATTCAGGAATCACACAAAGCTACTTTTGTAGGAAACAGAGTGATGTACATTTTTTCTAGTTTGTTAACATGTGTACAATAATGAATTTACTTCCGGTAAATATGGCCAAACACTGATAGCAAGAACACCATGGCAACTAGAAGCTATGTGTATGGTCCATGTATTACAAGCCATTATCATACCTAATATATAAAGTTATTCATAAACAACTATATTCATATTTCATTCCTGACTGAACTGCCAGAGAGTTTTACCAGAAAGAGTTAGTACAAAAACTAATCCACCCCTATAGACTAATTCCCTCAGAATTCAATTCATTGCAATGTCAGTTTCAGATAGACAAGATTTCAACTTATCTGTCCATCTCCTTCCTTTTATCAATCGTGAACCTTTTAAATCCACATAAATTTTTAAAAAATATATAAAGTACATATCTTTTGAAAATGAGGCTGGCAATAATTCTTTTTAAAGAAGTATCTGGGTATTTGAGTTTGAAATGAAAATTCAGTTCAAGTACGGAATATGGGGCACTGAGAGGTTCTTTGTCCTTTCTACAAGGTTTTTTTTCCCTCGTTGCTTGGCATAGAAAGAAGGTGTTATGTGAGTACCAGGACCTTTTTCTATGCCCCAAGCCTATCAACTCTGGATCAGTCAAATGTAGTAAAACACCAGATTTTAAAATAAACGTGTTATGATGATACTGATAAGTTCTTGATAGTTTTACATGTAATGCCCAAATAATTCACATTTTTACTAACTTTAAATTTTTTCTCAAGATTAAATGAAATTACTTGATAGCCATCTGCTGAAGATGATATATACACACAGAAAATAAAACCTTTCTATCATATTTTATGCACTGAAATGTGTTTTTAGCAGACAAGGTATACTGTAAACCCTTTACATTAGAAAGTACACTATACTATCATCAATAGTGCAATGTACAGTCAAGTGATTTATGTTCAAAGTTTTGAATAATTGAAAAGTTTACTTTGAACTAGCATGTTATACTGTAGAACAATAAGATTTTAAAACCATCTCTTCTAACAAATTATTGTGAATATAAATATCTTAGCGATATTTCATTAGTGATGTACAATATTACAGTGGAAGGTTGTTTTTTCAAAATTTAATTAAGTGATGATTAGTTTAAACTAGGTAGTTCCGTTTAATTTCTTTATACATCAGGTAAGTTGAAATAAAAAAAAAATTCACAATGTTCCTTTTTCTCACTCATCTATAAAGACACATTTTATATAGGGTAAATAATTCTCTAAAGGGTTGCTTTGTCAGACATTATCGTTATCAGAGGATTATCATAGTATATAAAAATTATAGAAATAATAATTGATCAACTAGAATCAATATCTTCATGTCTTATCAAGTTCATACCATTTAGACAACCTTGTAAATAAATCTTAAATGTTCACCTTGTTTGGTTTTTTTTTTTTTTGTAAGTGTGTCAAGGTCGTTGATTTGAACAAATAAGTTTTCTAGGTTCATGCTGAAGGACAAAAGTGACTAGACAGCACAGTTCGGTCTGTTATGACAAATGAGTTAAAGTCTATCTCCATAAATTACATGATGAATATTATATAGTTTTAACTATAGTATTTTCAGTTCTGAAGATGAAATTTTAAACATCTTTGTCCAAGATGACCATAAAAGGTAAATAGAATTTAATTAGCTCTTCTCCTAAGCAAGTTACAGGCCTTATCTTAAAATTCTGAACCTTCAGGTTCTTCAGAAGATGTTTTTAATGGGAATGCTATTGCCCGAATCATGGACAGACAACAAAAATGCTATCAAAACCCCACAACTCTTCAACTTTTGATTTCAAGTGAACTTGTCCTTCACAATATTGTAAAGGTTAGAGCTGTTTTGCCAATAATGATCTTGTACAACAATTTACACTATAATCTTCTACCTGTAAACTTTACAATGTCAATCAGATGTCACAATTCAGTTCTCCATATTTCAGGCACAATTCTAATATATTTTCATTTCTAGAAACATTTTCTAAAGTTGTGACTTTATAAAGTAGCCATGTACATGGTTTTGGGATATATGTTTAACATTTCAATATATACAGTATAACTTTCTCAAAAACGGAAGGTCAACACATATATAACAACATCAGATATGTATCATCATGTTTTGGTCCCTTCAATAACATTCTTCTCTTGAAACGATTAGCTCATCATAATTCTTTCAACCTTGCTAAAAGTTTTTCTGCTTCGCTTTCTCCTTCAGATGGCTTCCTCCGTTCGCGTTTTCGCTCCCTTGGTTTTTCCACAGGTACACTAGTCCGTTCACGCGGTGGAGTGTCTGAATTTAGCACATCCTCAAATGAAATTTCTCGCACTGTTGAATTATCCACCTGGAGAAGATTTTGTCGTGACCTTGACCGAGATAGCTGGGCTCGGCGTTCAGCTAGAAGACAAAAGAACATTCTTATTAAAATTGTAACCATATGAGCTTACAAATAAATTATTAAATTATTTTTAATAATTAAAATAAAGAATTGAAATGGTTGATAGGCAGTTTACAAATAAACGCAATGTAAATAACTAGGTTGAAAACGAAACAAATTTGTGTCCATACAACTACCAAACAGTTCAATCACAAAATTCAAAATATCTTTTTACCCACATATTAGTCATCTGAAATATGTTAAAAAATTCATCACAAATCATCAGAAATATTTCTTTAAGAGAGAATAATTGTAGTTCATGAAAACCATTGATTAGGACAAGGGGAGGTAACTTGATGGATTACATGTTAGATTGGCGAAAATAACAAAAAGACATTCACAGTAAATAAATTTGAATCATATCATAACACACTGAAACATTCCTAACAATAAAGCCTTTTTTTTATAAAGTCAACATGCACCATCAAAGCTGAGACCTTTTATGAGACTATATTTAACATATTTAGCTTCTGGTTTTGTTTACTCATCATACCTCTGAATTATATATATATATTTTATCAAAATTTTTTACACAATTAGAATATTTTAACATGGTATTCATTTAGAAGCATCAGAAAAAAATTACAACATCATTAAAACATTTTTACAAAAATCTTTATAAAGGAGAATTCAAAATTTCTGTCAAAATCATTTTGTTAGAAAAGCAAGTATTGTAATATAATGTGTTTTTGGATCAGGAAGACGTTAAATTATACTTTTCAACAGGTTAACATATACTGAAGTATTTTAGCAAGCATGCAGGTGACATGTTTATTTGACATTAAATGTTCAGTATCATATAGGTTTAAATAAAAAGTGATCTATATTTAGTAAATGGCTGCCTTATAAAGGGAGATAAATGATGATACCTACTCCTGGACAGTGATTAGATATAATATATAGTATTTATCTAGGAAGAAAGCTTTATGAAGCAGTGTCTCAACATTTCATTAGAATCTTGTCTTCCATCTTCACTTAAAGAAATCATTTATTATTTTTGATTTGTTTTCAACTATTTTAAGGAATTTACAGCAAATTTACAATATTTTCTTTTTCTCCCATTTATGTTCGTTTTTTTCTTCAACTTTATAGAATGTTATATATAAAATCACAAAAATACAAATAACACATAAATGAAATATAGAATGATTTTCCTGTGAAAGTTATAAGGATGTTTTTTGACTGGTGTTAAGACAATGTCACATCAAGTCATTAATGTATACACTTTGTATGTTATTGTATACAGGACAGACTTGTGTCACCTTGTAACTACCCTGGTTCTCCACGCCTGGTTCACACGCGCTGAAATTAAAGTGTCTACATTTTACATACAGTTCATATAAACCCTGATACCAACTGGCTTCATCAGGTTCTGTTTGGGATTAATATACACCTCTAGAGCCTGAATTGCCTTGTGACTATAGACAAACCACTGCCAGTACCAGAATAAGCATCCTTAACTGAAAACATGATCATTTCATCTGGTCAGAATCCTATTTCAGCGATACGTTGTTTATCTAACTAGAACTTGTGTTGAGTTAAATTCATGCTAAATGTTTGATATAATTCATTCTGGAGTTCGGGATTTATCTGTCTCAGGGTCACATGTGTTATTTACTTGTGTCATTGTCAACCGATCATATTCAAGACAATTACAAATTGTAAGCATTCTCTTCAATACCAGTACACATATGTATTACTTGCAATTTTTGGTGGTAAATCAGAATATTATTACAAAATACCATCCAATGATTAATACTGTCAAACAAATACACAAAACACAAATAATCATATTATAAAACATTATGCATGGGAGAGTCTGGTCTGCACATCCAAAGAAAAGAAGCAAAACACAAAATATATATATATATATATATATAAAAAAAACCAGAAAAAAAGCAAAGCAAAATAAGCACATAAATGTATATAAAATATTGTGTACACAAACTGACATTTAAACAACAAAAACAACAATAAAATTGCAACACTAAGTTATGAAGTAAGTTTATCTTGTCATAATTCACACCACCTTCCATAATCCTTGTCACCTTGATCCAATTATTATCATAAAACACTCATTCATTTTTTGTAATATCCTAACCTTAATAAATTTTAGTCATATCACTGGATCTTATTGCAATTTCTGTCATACTCTTATGTCAATCATCGTCAAAATCCACTCTAAATACAATCCTTGATCGATTCAAATCTTACACCTAATCATCACATACATTAATCTTACTAAATACTTGTCATACTCCACACCCGAGCACATCTTCCTTTTTTTAAATGTGTAACAAGCTTGAACAAATTTTGAGTATAGATACTTAAGAAACAATACCTCAGATTGGAGAGGGATTGATTATATGAAAATAAAAGTAAATAAAGAATGCTTAGAAAATAAAAATGATATTCATATAAAAGGATATGAAAATGAAATTAAAATGATAAAATGTTAACAAGGTATCAATATAAAACAAACTTTTGTTGATGAACTTTTGCAATAATTCAGCTACATGGACACAATTGTCCAGAAAAAGCAACCAAAGAATGCACATATTACACACAGGACAAACTTCCACGGAGAAATCGAACTAAAAAACCAAATTACTAAAGCATTAGTCTATAAGAAATGTTGAGGTAATTACAAAATAAAAGCTGGAATCAACATTAAAACGTAAAATAGCCATTTAATGGGATAACAAATACCATGAAAAAAAAACATAAAACATCTACAGGTCAAAGCTGTTTCTTCAAAAGTGTCAGCATAGCCAAGATAGCCACGAAGCTTGGAGAAGTGCATGATATGTGTAATTTAGATATACTTTGACAAAATGCATATTTATCTATTGGCAAACAAGGAAGCCATGAAGCTTGGAGAAGTGGTATGTGTAATGTTGATATACTTCAACAAAATACATTTGTATCCATTAGCAGACAAGTACTATACATGTGACTGTGCAGAATGATTTGTGGGCTGTCAAACCAGATACACAGTAATGAATATGTACTGCCAAAAGATGTTGAAATTTAAAATTTCTGTCTTTTTTCCCCTTCAAATTGCATGCTCTCAATACTTACAATGCATATATATGGTTTCATATGAAGTATTGTTGAGCATGTACACATATATGCTAATTTTTACATGCTTGTTTGAGGTTCCAAGACACCATGCTGTATATTTTTCCCAGATTTCTATGCTGACAAAGGCTACACATTTCATGCTTGATTTTCACAACACTGACTTCCACGAAAACCTTAATTTAATGGGACCAACCAATGAGAAGAGCGGTGCATCACGCTGCCTTCAATAGCGTTGGTGAGCTGGTCCATATCTACTCCGTTGACAGGGGGGCGATTATGCCACACTCTAGATCGTGAGAGTGTGGAGAATCTATCCGCTGTGAGGTGCATAGGTGGAAGAAACAGATAGTATTGAGCAACACAGAAAGATGAGAAGGCTGTGAGAGCAGGTAATCTACACGATAATCTGTTTGTGGACTTTAGACTGTACAGACAGAAAGGATAATGGTAGAAGTGATATCTCTGTTCATAAACATTACAATTCCTTGAGCAGTGCAAAGACTCATAATGATAACAAGATGATGTCTTACATATATAGCTAACAACTCTATCATGACTGGTATTTTGTCAATATATGATGTATCAAATAATTTGACACATAGGCAAAAATTTTGTTTAATTGATGCTATGCATGCTTTAAACAAAATTCAGATTTGTCATCAAATCCAGAAGTATGTTCCCCAGAAACACACAATAAAAACTATTTTACGTGTTACTTAGACTCTATTTTTTAACCCACATGAATTTTACTACGAGAAAATCTCACTTATATCTGCTGAAAATAAATTTTCTTATTAACTTAAAAACTTACAAAAATATTGACATACACAGAATTTTCAACATTTCAATTTTAACAAACTGACAATCTTAGGGTGAATTTTACAAGTTTAAGCTTATTACCCGATTTCCATTTTAGATGAGGATCTAAAAAAATAATTCAGGTGAGAAATTGTTGCTAATCAATCCTTAACCAAACCACCATGTCATGGTAAAATATTTATGAAATAAACCTTCTAAAGTCAATGTCTGTATCCTTTGCACGTCTCTAATACTGACACCAGTAACTATAAAGGAAAGTGTAAAAAGAAAAGTGCTGACACAGCAGAAAATGGAAACACCAGAAACAAGATGAAATCTTACCATCACAAACAGATTTGTGAATTACGTAAAAAGAGAATGGTTTGTGTAAAAAATAAAGGACTTAAAACTAATTGATTTTTTGAAACAGAATCTTCCTATCCCATCAGGATATTTGTTACTTCTTGCACAAGTACCCAAACCCAACTACTGGGGAAGAGAACAAAATCACCTTGACCTTTCTAAGGGAGGTAATAGATAAACCTTGTGTCAGATCCAACCAATACTTATCTGGTGTGTTTATTTTCTCACAGAACATCTTAGTTTACCTCATAATTTTATGATATGAACATACATCTTTTTAAGACAGATAAATCAGAGATAATTATTTTGATATCAAATCTGGAAAAACAGACTGATGTGTCAATTACAGCTCCATCAAATTCAAAGGGTTACAACCTAATACGATATAATGATGTATCACATAGTGAATATGGAAGTCTGTATGTACTGGTAAGTCCTGAATATTTCAATGAAATTTGCTGTGATGCAGTTCAACATTTTGTTGCAAGTTTAAGCAAAATTTATCAACTTTTTCAGTAAGTTATATGATCATGAAATGATGAAAACAATATTTTACAAATGGAATAGAATCAGACTGAATGAGTAACTTTCTTTTTTTTACAGTTTAACATACAGGCAGGAGTATAACGATTATAGTCCTGCAGCCTGTTTAACTAGATTGAAAATCTCACTGATATATTGTTTCAAAGTACTGGTTGGATAGACCATGTCCTCTTAAACCATTAAATACACGTATATCCCTGTTACCTGGAGTTAGGTAGCCAACTAATAAAATACAACAATGATATGTTATAACCCGGACTCCAAATTAAAATTTGTTATCTGCAGGTTCCTGATATTTCTAGATATTAGAGGTATTAGTTTGTTATTATGTTATATAGAAAAGATCTTTTAAACAAATAGAAAGATATAAAGAAGCTTGCATAAAGATGTATTCCAGTTACATACAATAATTGATTTTTTCCAAGTAACTATATGATTGAATTCTCATATCGTCTACATGTAGATAAAAAGACTTATATAGTACATGTAAACACAGAAATAATGAATAATATATATTTATGTTTATTCTTACACATAAGATATACAACAGCATTAAGAAAGTCATTGAATACAATCTCTACACAAAAATCTGGCACATTTTTGCTGGAAGTGCATTTAAAAAAAACGCTTTGTGAAATGCACAAAAACAATAAGCCCTGTGTGGACAACTATACTTAAAGCACTGCAGTGTGACATATTTTAAGATACAACAATGCAACACCACACTAGTGATATTCTGTACTAGGAAAAGATCTTTCACACTGCTGCCCTCTCTCATAAATCTGCCATCTTTTACAACACTCACTTTTCTATAACATTTTTTCAACATTAATAAACCATTATCTCAGACCTAATTCATAAGTTCTACCCATGTTAGTATCTAAATTTCATTATCATTATCAGCCCCGCGTTCCAAGAAAACACACAGAGAGCCAACATAACCCACACTATGATTCTGAGTATGATATTACAATCACGGTAAACGACCGTTAGGATAAATTTACCTCCTGCGGCACGTGGTGTTCGACGCTTGCCATCTCTTCCCTTGTTAAAGGCTGATCCTGTCTTCAGAGCATCTAGTAAATTGTCTATCACTCCTTCCTGGTCATCATCTGAAACACAAAGGGAACACGTTTAAACTATCTATAACTATGTCCCTGGTTATTCAAGGCTAGCCATTCAATAACACTACAATATCTCTTCACATCGAGAAAGAAAACAGAAAATAAAGATTGTCAATCTTCCTTAATATTTATTTACAAAGCATAGCACTTGGCTATGCCCTCCTACATATTGTCAACTTTCTTGCAAGTGCCACTGAGGAAAGACTGCTGTTCCTGTGCTGATGTTAGGAATACATCACCAAGGTCAAGGTCAAGGTCAACATCAGACATGAAAGTTTCTTAAAATTGTATATGTATCCTCTAAATTTAAAAAAGCTTGTGTAAAAGAAATCTCTTTTTGGTCCAAATTTTATGTTTGGTATCAAGTCCATCTATTTAAATGAACAATGGTGATCACTACTTTTAAAAGATACAAATAAACTCCAGAGTCTGTCCAATCCTTGTAATGTTGACATACCAATGGTTACATCAACCAGTGCTTTCTTCCTCGCTATTTTAGCCTCCTTTTCCTTCTGAGCGCGCTCCTTAGCCTCTTTAGCTCGGCGAATCTTCTCCTGCATTTCTCGAATTTTGGCATTTTCTTTTACAGCTTCCTGTTGAAATAACAATCTTTGATTGTGTATTTTGTTCGCCTCACTACAGGTGTATGCAATTCACAGGGGCACAGGCTCATGGACAGTGTTTCAGTTTTAAAAGATGTCACTAGTATGATCAATATTTCTATGAAAACATGAAAAACATTCAATAAAGACATGAGACCATGGGGACCATGTATCAAAATACATACTTCAATCACAAAACACTGTCAATGCAAGAATTTGGATTAAGTGACTTCCGTGTTTTTGACAGACAAGAGAACAAATTATCATTATAAGATATAGACCAACATGAATGATGTAAGGTTGTGATTGTTGAAGACAAAACATTAATTATAAGTGTGTCTGTATATAAAAAAAAAACAATTACCACAAAATGCTCTTTGAATGCCTTGAGATCTGCAAAGAACTCGTCCATTGTATATTTTTTTACATCAAAGGCATAGAACTTGGCCATGCCTTTGTACAAATTGTCCATTTTCTTGTACATCCCACTGAGGACGGACTGCTGTTCCCTTGCTGATGTTAGGAACACGTCACCAAAGTCAAGGTCAACATCAGACATGAAAGTTTCTTAAAACTTAATTCAAGTACATCATAAAACCTGTCTCATGAAGAACACTGAAAGGAGCAGAAAATAGCGTTCTTTAAGGTAGATTCGACTGTACAAACTTTTGTGAATCATCTTTTCCTTATAGAGCAGAAGGAAAATACTATCTTTACTCACAAATCAATAAATTTCCAGTGATGACTACTCATCAAAACACCAAATATTTTACACAGGGCTTACTTCAATATAAAATCTTACAGCACAATAATAATGATATAATGCCCCTTTTTGTATTTTCTTGACCCTGTTACAGTATACTAACCATGATATAATGCCCCTTTTTGTACTTTCTTGACCCTGTCACAGTATACTAACCATGATATAATGCCCCTTTTTGTACTGTCTAGACCCTGTTACAGTATACTAACCATGATATAATGCCCCTTTTTGTATTTTCTTGACCCTGTTACAGTATACTAACCATGATATAATGCCCCTTTTTGTATTTTCTTGACCCTGTTACAGTATACTAACCATGATATAATGCCCCTTTTTGTATTTTCTTGACCCTGTTGCAATATACTAACCATGATATAATGCCCCTTTTTGTATTTTCTTGACCCTGTTACAGTATACTAACCATGATATAATGCCCCTTTTTGTATTTTCTTGACCCTGTTGCAATATACTAACCATGATATAATGTCCCTTTTTGTATTTTCTTGGCCCTGTTACAGTATACTAACCATGATATAATGCCCCTTTTTGTATTTTCTTGACCCTGTTGCAATATACTAACCATGATATAATGTCCCTTTTTGTATTTTCTTGACCCTGTTGCAATATACTAACCATGATATAATGCCCCTTTTTGTACTTTCTTGACCCTGTTACAGTATACTAACAATGATATAATACCCCTTTTTGTATTTTCTTGACCCTGTTACAGTATACTAACAATGATATAATACCCGTTTTTGTATTTTCTTGACCCTGTTACAGTATACTAACAATGATATAATACCCCTTTTTGTATTTTCTTGACCCTGTTACAGTATACTAACCATGATATAATGTCCCTTTTTGTATTTTCTTGACCCTGTTACAGTATACTAACCATGATATAATGCCCCTTTTTGTATTTTCTTGACCCTGTTACAGTATACTAACAATGATATAATACCCCTTTTTGTATTTTCTTGACCCTGTTACAGTATACTAACCATGATATAATGCCCCTTTTTGTACTTTCTTGACCCTGTTACAAAACTAACCATGATATAATGTAATCTTTGTTTATTTTCTTTGACTTAATTTGCAATGACAAATTTTTGCAAACTTGTTTTGATAGTAATTATCAACTGGAAAGGATATGTTCATGACATCTGGAAACTTATCATTATAATGGCCCCTTGCTTTGTATTTTCTTAACATCCAATTCTGTTGCAACTTTTCTAACCATGATATAATGTCCCTTTTTGCATTTCATCTGACACTACAATCACAGTGACAAAGATAAAGTAACATCTGACACTACAATCACAGTGACAAAGATAAAGTAACATCTGACACTACAATCACAGTGACAAAGATAAAGTAACATCTGACACTACAATCACAGTGACAAAGATAAAGTAACATCTGACATATAATCACAGTTTTTGTATTAACATCTGACACTGTTACAGTATACAGTGACAAAGATATTAGTAACATCTGACACTACAATCACAGTGACAAAGATATTAGTAACATCTGACACTACAATCACAGTGACAAAGATATTAGTAACATCTGACACTACAATCACAGTGACAAAGATATTAGTAACATCTGACACTACAATCACAGTGATTGTAATCTTTGTTTATTTTCTTTGACACTACAATCACAGTGACAAAATTTTTGTAACACTTGTTTTGATAGCAATTACAAGTGGAAAGGATATGTTCATGACATCTGAAACTTACAATCCATGGCCAGATGCTTTAGTAACATTAACATACAATCACAGTGACAAAGATATTAGTAACATCTGACACTACAATCACAGTGACAAAGATAAAGTAACATCTGACACTACAATCACAGTGACAAAGATATTAGTAAACGTTTGTAGCAGTAATTTGTTTATCTATGAGTGAAGAATATCACTTGGCATATACATCATTATTCCCTGTGTATAACTTATAGTTTCATAGATATCTTATCAATAGCCACTTATTTTCTTGATGCACTGTTTATATACAGGAAGCAGAAATGACGTTGATCTTTGGTTCACAATGTTAATTACAAACTTTCATTAGGTTTCAGTACTGTGGTTTGGTAATTAATCCTAAATGATGTTAGTGCTCCTGTTATACGTTTCTTGGTAGTAAATAGAGCCTGCCATTCTAGGACCACTTGGACCTGTTATTTCAGTTGTCAGACTGGTTCCTCAGTGTATAGAACATCCAATGAATGATGATTAACAGTAATTTTTCAAAGTAACATAAAAAAGAAAAAATACAAACAATGTCAAAATGTAAATATAAGAAAAAAATTTCCTTTTTGGTTGTTTACTGGTGTGTAAACTGCATTTTTTTTACAGATATTTCAACATAACATGCTAACACATGTCATTTAAAATATCGTTAAAAAAATGCAGTTTACACACCAGTAAACAACAAATAAAGAATAAAACCTATGAAGTTCATCTCCAAAATATGTAAAGTGTGTCTTCTATTTATATCTTATTAAGATAATACTGAATAGTCACTATAAAAATCAGACCATAAATGCTTATGCTGTATATATATATATATATGATGATGAACAAAGATTACTGTAGATGTAAAATGAAAACTATGGCATTGCTGTGAAAAGCAACATATTTCATCATGCTTTACCTTGGTAAACATGAAAGTTCAGTGAAATCTGACTCACAAATTTAATAGAGAGAGACATGTTGATGAAAATGACTTAACTTTCTTTGTTCATCATCTACTGTCAGTTGGACCTCTATACAAACCTCAAACCTCGGGCAGCCCTTTCAACATAGGACAGTATCTACTGTTAGTGGGACCTCTATACAAACCTCGGGCAGCCCTTTCAACATAGGACAGTATCTACTGTCAGTGGGGACCTCTATACAAACCTCGGGCAGCCCTTTCAACATAGGACAGTATCTACTGTCAGTGGGGACCTCTATACAAACCTCGAGCAGCCCTTTCAACATAGGACAGTATCTACTGTCAGTGGGGACCTCTATACAAACCTCGAGCAGCCCTTTCAACATGGGACAGTATCTACTGTCAGTGGGGACCTCTATACAAACCTCGGGCAGCCCTTTCAACACAGGACAGTATCTACTGTCAGTGGGGACCACTATACAAACCTCGGGCAGCCCTTTCAACATAGGACAGCTCTTCTGTGAAGGTAAGGAGATCTGGGTGTTGCTGTTCTATGACATCAGCAAGGTAATGGACTAGAGTGGTCTTCCCATCCTGACTCTTGGTGTTGTGGAGCTGGTTAGGAAATACAACAGTGCGTGTAGGCAACAATATTCATTTACCTGGTAGTTTCACTAAAGACTTACCTCACTGTTTCATTTTTAATTTAATTTTTTGTAATTGTATTTCAATTTTGTTTTAGATGCTGAATTATGCTATATGTCTGATGATATGAGCTATTTTATTTAAAATATACTGTTTGATAATGCATCATCTTGCACTTTTAATATGAGTGCAAGGCAGTAATTGGCTTTTGATGGTGAGTATAAATTTTTTTCTGTGAGATCATCATTTGGGGGTCCAGCTATACATTATTAATCAACTAAACGTGGTCAACAGAGTGATGACATTACTGTGTGTGAGAACGTCCAGCACACAAACATGATACAGTAAATGTATACAGTCATGACATTACTGTGTGTGAGAACGTCCAGCACACAAACATGATACAGTAAATGTATACAGTCATGACATTACTGTGTGTGAGAACGTCCAGCACACAAACATGATACAGTAAATGTATACAGTCATGACATTACTGTGTGTGAGAACGTCCAGCACACAAACATGATACAGTAAATGTATACAGTCATGACATTACTGTGTGTGAGAACGTCCAGCACACAAACATGATACAGTAAATGTATACAGTCATGACATTACTGTGTGTGAGAACGTCCAGCACACAAACATGATACAGTAAATGTATACAGTCATGACATTACTGTGTGTGAGAACGTCCAGCACACAAACATGATACAGTAAATGTATACAGTCATGACATTACTGTGTGTGAGAACGTCCAGCAAAAAAAAAATTATGATAAAGTAAATGTATTCAACAGACTAATTAAATTGCAAACTATTTACAGGCCATTGAATAAAATTCAGGGGAATACCAAAAATGTCTTAGCCTTTTCTGATTCATGAGCCACTAGTTAGAAGGCAATCACCAGCTAGCATATTGTGCCTGAGCTCCATTTCATGAAAATCAATCTTAAAAAATTTATTAACTTCTCATTACATAAACAATAGGAATATGAACAAGAGGCCCGGAGAGACAGTATTACCCAATCAAATGTAAATCTCATAATTACACATAAAACAGACAAGAATATGCTGAAAAAATTACTCCATCCATGAAGAGTGCTAAGTATGGGTGTTGACATTTCATTGGTGTAAAATTAACCTGTCAAAAAATCATTATTGCTAGATAAATCTAATTTTTTTTTTCATAATATAAACAGTTACTTATTTTTCTATATATATTCAACATATTCAAATACATTCTATAAGTAAAGACTACCCTTATGCAAAAAATGATAAACATGCATGTTTAACTGTGTCTGAAATTAACAACAGATGGAATTTAATGAAACGAAGAAACAGACAATGACTTGACAATCTTAAAAAAACAATGTCTATCTTGCACTTTAATTCTGATCCAATCAATATAAATATGAAAAAAAAAATAATGATTTAATTTCTTATTCCCAATTCAACACCTACAGTCCTCGAACTCAATCATACTAGCAGAACATCCACCAAAGACGCAGACTTCACCGCATACCCTGATGAGTATCTGAAAGACTGAATGAGTTATTCAGCAATAGACTAGACAATACAGAAGACATTTTCTATGTTGAAAGTAAACTTGAGCCCCTTTAAAAAATTCAATGTTTGGGTCCGAAAATTCATGAAATAGGAGCATAACGTACTGGTCCCAAGGCCAAAGGGCATCCACAACGAATGAATTATCAGGGGTAACAACTCTCAATAAGCTGATTCTATACATACTTATACTAAAATGAATCAACTCACAAAGCATGCTATTTATCAGGGGAGACAACTGAAATCTTCTGTTCAATGTTGCTAATATTCTCCAGCTGTTCTAAACCAGATTTAAGAAGGAGCTGAAAAGCATGGCATTATCCCCCACACCCAGCTGTTGGTGTAAAACCCAAACATGATATATATATATATATATATATATCAGTATAACAATTTGTGACGAAACTCAACTATCCATTGCAAATATCACCTGAAAATCTAATACAGTGAAAGTGCTAGTGCAAAATGTAGTCTTCTTTTGTCAATTATCAATATTTCCTGGCATCTCCTCAACTTCAGCATTTTATATATATACATATATATCTTATATTTGAAACTTATAGAAAGAGTGTATATCTTGATGTAGATCCTGTGTTTTTGACTGTTGATGTTGATATTTGAATATAGCTTGGTATTGTCTAGGAACAAATTTATGCAACACTCTAGAAGACCTGGAGTAATAAAAGATATTATAAGAAATTCAACAAGATGATAGTAAGCCAGTGTCAATACCTGCATACCATCAACACTGTCATCCTATACTAATAAATCTTACAAAATTATTTCCAGAGGAAAATAAATGTTATCATCAAAAATGTAATTTTTCTATAAAAATTATAGTAAAGCTAACCTCCTTGCCAGGAAGAAATGTGAGAGCCATTTTGGTAATTTAAGTATGATTTCATACTGGAAGATCATTTGATTCTACCATACCTTGGTATTGAAAAGAAGATTTTTGAAATTTAAATCAATGTAACCCTTTTTGGACCAACCCATCAGCCCCTGGTGGTCAACCAGGATCAATATGGGCATACCATCAAGTCGTCATCCTTCACTCATAATTCTAACCATGTTTGAAATATTTCCACTGAAAATTGAACAAATTATACCCAAAAATCTATTTTTCCAATACAAAATATAGTAAACTTTACCTCCTCCTCAGGGGAAATGTGAGAGCCTGGGGCCATAAAATTCACAATATTGGTAAACCACTTTAAGAATGCTTCCATCCATGAACATCACTTCGTTCTACCATACCTATAGGCCAAGACCCACCATTTATACAAAACTGATTTTCCTTCAACCAAGCATGCTTCAGACCAAATTGGGAAATTGTTTTTTCTCTTAAGCCTCAGGGGCCTAGACCATTAATCAATAAACTTCCTTTCTTTTTCCAAGGATGCTTCAGACCAAATTTGATTAAATCTGCTCAGTTGTTCATGAAAAATTGCAGAATATAGTAAACGCTGATAGAAGACGGACGGCAGACAATGGACGACATACAAAGCGGTATCCCTATTGCTTACTTGGCCCTTTTGGCCAGGTTAGTTAGCAAAAACCACTCATTGCTGTAATGCTAGTTAGAGATGTAACAAATCATTTCAGCATTTGGTGTGACATCTCATGGGAAATGTCCACTAGAATGCTCTTTAGAACTTTGGTGTTTACTTACCTTACTCAGGTAACTCAGTTCAAACCCTACAGACTGAGCATTTCTGGAACCTGCATTAAGATAGTTTCCCATGAATAATATTAATTCCAATAGACTGTTGAATTTTTTACTGTTCCGAACCTCCTCACAGGCTTCGATGGCAGCTACCACGTCCTGAATAGATAAAACACAGTATAGAGCATTGTTCCTCATTACCTTTGATAATTGATAAAGTTGGGAAAACTGATGATGAATATTCTAATGATGACTGCTCTTTAACAAGGAAACAGCCAACTTATATTTTCAATACCTAATAATGATATAACTGTATAAAAGACAAAACACATGTAATCAATGTTAACTAGACAAAAAGAAGGAAATTGTTGGTCAAAATGATATATTTAGTATATCTGTATAGTTTGATCCTTTCCTTTCTTGCCGTCTGTTTGCTCTTATTCTCCCATAATAAAGAAAGTACAAGAGACCATAAGGAATATACAGATATAATGTGAGAAATTTCCATCACATACTCTCCAAGAAAAGGTAATAACAGTTTATACTCTCCAAGAAAAGGTAATAACAGTTTTTGAATGTCGAAAACCAAGCTGGCTGCCTGTGAGCCATTTTGTTTTCTAATCAATAGTAAGTTAACGGGAATTTGAAAAAACCATCACCTGATGGTAGGAATAACATAAAACATATCTTTGGTCTTAATTCAGATAATTCAAGGAAATTTGATATCTTATCACAATACCATTAACATTTTACTTACTGGTTTAATTTCTGAAACCAGCTCAGGGAAGTTCATTTTAAAGAGCATTGACTTTAATCTAGGCGTAATTCTTTTTATACTGCTTATCTGAAACAGAACAAAGAAAATAATCAACATGATTTCTAATTTTTCTTTAAATCTTATTTTATGTTGAAATAAATTTCAACAATATCATAAGTTTAGAATGTATACCCCTCTGATCACAGCAGACATTGGTAATAATGCAAGCCATAAGCACAGCAACTTATTCAAGTTGAGTCAACACACACCTATCCTTAAAGTTGTAACTGTTCTATGTGCTGTAACTGACTCAGACAAAACCAAGTCAATACACACCTATCCTTACAGTAGTAACTGTTCTATGTTGTAACTGACTCAGACAAACCCGAGTCAACACACACCTAACCTTACAGTAGCAGCTGTTCCATGTGCTGTAACTGACTCAGGCAAAACCAAGTCAACACACACCTATCCTTACAGTAGTAACTGTTCTATGTTGTAACTGACTCAGGCAAAACCAAGTCAACACACACCTATCCTTACAGTAGTAACTGTTCTATGTTGTAACTGACTCAGGCAAAACCAAGTCAACACACACCTATCTTTACAGTAGTAACTGTTCCATGTGCTGAGTTGGTTAGCTGTAACCTATTCTGGTGAAGTTGAGTATAGTTGCTGTGACCCATTCAGTCTGAATTAAGTAGCTGTAATCTAATCAGACCAGCTATACCAAAGAGACGTTGGATCACTGACATCTTCTTGAAAAGTAACCAATCTTAATTGAGTAGCTGTAACCAGTCTGAGTTGAGACACACATCTATCCTATTATAGTCGTATCAGTTTTATGTGCTGTAACTGACCCAGGTAAAATTAAATCAACACACATCTATCCTTACAGTAGTAATTGTACTTTGTGCTATAACCTATTCTGGTCAAGTTGAGTATAGTTGCTGTAACCCATTCAGTATGAGTTGAGTATGTACTACCTATTCAGGCTGAGTTGGGGAGTTGTAACCAGTATGAGTTGAGTACCTGTTACCTATTCAGTCTGAGTTGAGATGCTGTAACCAGTCTGAGTTGAGAAGCTGTAACCAGTCTGAGTTGAGAAGCTGTAACCAGTCTGAGTTGAGATGCTGTAACCTATTCAGTCTGAGTTGAGTACCTGTTACCTATTCAGTCTGAGTTGAGTACCTGTTACCTATTCAGTATGAGCTGAGATGCTGTAACCTATTCAGTCTGAGTTGAGTACCTGTTACCTATTCAGTCTGAGTTGAGTACCTGTTACCTACTCAGACTGAGCTGAGATGCTGTAACCTATTCAGACAGAGTGAATCCCTTGTTACAATTAACTAATTAGGCTGAATACACATAAGCTTACTGTTACTGTAAACTGTTCAGACTCGGCCAGGTCATCATACTGGTCTTTGAAGGAAGCAAGTTTGTTGATCTGTTCTGGCTCGGGCATGTACTTAATAAGCTGCTCCAGTAGTGCTGTAGACAGGTGTGACTCATCCATCTCTAGAATACGGCGCCGTATCTCTTCATACGGTACCTTGATCGAACCCAACAAGATCGCTGTAACAAAGGAGAAATTATAATACACATAAAATTACAATTACAAAAAACATTACATGAGCAAAACTTCAAACCTTAGATTAGTTTCCTGTACAATACTTCAGAGCTGATTTCATTAGAATCAGATCTGTACTGATTTGACTTTGAACTTACCCATTGTACAAATTATGCTGGCATTTTCACAAGTTCTGAGTTGGTTGCCATGGGAACCAACAGTACTTACACAAGCTCTATGGGGTGGATGGGAGAACCACCAGATACTTACACAAGTTCTCTGCTAGTTCCCAAAGAAACTGACAGGTATTAACTTACACAAGCTCTATGCTTGTTTTCAAGAGAACCACCAGGTACCTACATAAGTTCTTTGCTGGTTCCCACAGAAACCGAGAGGTATTAACTTACACAAGCTGTATGCTTGTTTTTAAGGGAACCTCCAGGTACTTACACAAGTTTTGTGCTGGTTCCCACTGAAACCAGCAGGTATTAACTTACACAAGCTGTATGCTTGTTTTGAAGGGAACCTCCAGGTACTTACACAAGCTGTATGCTTGCTTTGAAGGGAACCTCCAGGTACTTACACAAGCTGTATGCTTGCTTTACACAAGCTGTATGCTTGCTTTAAAGGGAACCTCCAGGTACTTACATAAGTTTTGTGCTGGTTCGCACAGAAACCGACAGGTATTAACTTACACAAGCTGTATGCTTGCTTTGAAGGGAACCTCCAGGTACTTACACAAGCTGTATGCTTGCTTTGAAGGGAACCTCCAGGTACTTACAAAAGCTGTATGCTTGCTTTGAAGGGAACCTCCGGGTACTTACACAAGCTGTATGCTTGCTTTGAAGGGAACCTCCGGGTACTTACACAAGCTGTATGCTTGTTTTGAAGGGAACCTCCGGGTACTTACACAAGCTGTATGCTTGCTTTGAAGGGAACCTCCGGGTACTTACACAAGCTGTATGCTTGCTTTGAAGGGAACCTCCGGGTACTTACACAAGCTGTATGCTTGCTTTGAAGGGAACCTCCGGGTACTTACACAAGCTGTATGCTTGCTTTAAAGGGAACCTCCAGGTACTTACACAAGCTGTATGCTTGCTTTGAAGGGAACCTCCGGGTACTTACACAAGCTGTATGCTTGCTTTGAAGGGAACCTACGGGTACTTACACAAGCTGTATGCTTGTTTTGAAGGGAACCTCCGGGTACTTACACAAGCTGTATGCTTGTTTTGAAGGGAACCTCCGGGTACTTACACAAGCTGTATGCTTGCTTTGAAGGGAACCTCCGGGTACTTACACAAGCTGTATGCTTGCTTTGAAGGGAACCTCCGGGTACTTACACAAGCTGTATGCTTGCTTTGAAGGGAACCTCCGGGTACTTACACAAGCTGTATGCTTGCTTTGAAGGGAACCTCCGGGTACTTACACAAGCTGTATGCTTGCTTTAAAGGGAACCTCCAGGTACTTACACAAGCTGTATGCTTGCTTTGAAGGGAACCTCCAGGTACTTACACAAGCTGTATGCTTGCTATAAAGGGAACCTCCAGGTACTTACAAAAGCTGTATGCTTGCTTTGAAGGGAACCTCCGGGTACTTACACAAGCTGTATGCTTGCTTTAAAGGGAACCTCCAGGTACTTACATAAGTTTTGTGCTGCTTTTCCCTCCAAAACCTTTAGTTCCTTTGTCTTTTTACTTGTTTTTTTCTTCTCAGTATTTTCTGTGGTGTCAACCTTTTTAGCTGAAGAAAGAAATGATATTCTTTATCTTAAACATAAAACCTACAGCAATGAAATCAGAGTGACATGGTCTCATTTCAAGATACTTTAGAAAATGACCCCTCATTTGGATACCATACCTGTGCATATACTTAAATGCTAAAACTGACCTTTGACCCTATAAATTTTGACTAAACATCCATCAAGTGTGACCTATCAAACCGACAGATGGTTACGAAATTTTAATCACATGTATAACTTGATATTCCTTTTCTGTGGTAAGCATGAATCAAACCTGTGAAGGGTTGGTGAGATGCCTTCAACACAAACTTTATGCTAGGACAAACAGAATCACAGAAACATGGACAAGCAATAGAATGTATACGGACACCATCAAATGTGATGTTTATTTATCAATCCCTTAACTAAGTATAGTTTTCATTATTAGTGTTTCATAATTTTCAAATAATACCCTATGTGTATTTCTTATTCTGAGTGTTAAAGGTTAGTGTGATTAAAACCAATGTTAAGAATACAACTCATAGGATTTACATTCTGATAGAAATGATATATTTACAAGTATAAGAAATTTGAAGACGGGAAACATAACACCAGGTGTATCACCTTTACATAAACTATTCAAGACTTATCACTGGTTTGGTTTTACATACAGGTATTTTTTACATATCATCACCTCAGGGCATTTAAAGACAGTCAATACTCATTAACTTTCATGCATTGATACATACTTTTGGACATTGTACCAAAGTTTTCCACTAGACCCTTGAAAATGTTGTCATTCTCAAACTTCTGTTCTTTGGCAGTAACCCAGAAGGAATCCTTCTCTATATTTTTCAAGTTGACCTGAAACAGATGAACATACATTAATGAATAATGGCCCCGATGTACACACAATAGTGAAAGTACTCGCCTACATGATGTATGGATTTCTGCATTCATATACAAGTGAGCAGTAGTAATAACTGGCCCTAAATATGTACACACAGTTCCATAAACAATACAATTTCTGCCCTGAATATGTATATATAAACAGATAATGACATCAACAGCAATCAAAGTAAATCACAGTGACACTGTGACATTTTCATTACACTAAAAATATCAATTTTACAACAAATTTTCCAACTTATATTAATACGTCTTGTTGGCCCTGGGAGAAGTGCATGAGGGGTCTTACTGTGAAGGAAACTGGAGTACCCAGGAAAATCCCATGTGGTTGGGCAGGTGACCCCATACCTATTCACATCAATTCTTGGAATCAAACCCCGAATGGCTAGGTTAAAGACAAGTGCGTTAGCCCTGCCCCGCCCAACCACCCCTACTCCCATCTTATGTCCATTATTCAAAGTCTCCTATATAAATTATATATCAGAACATTTACCATCAAAACTGAATTTCAAATCAGAAATTTGGGAAGGAATATAATGGTTATGTAGTTTTAATTTATTTCAACTGACCAATCAAATGATGTGTCACATTTCAAAAGAATCAAAATGGACATATGTGCAATATGTGTTGTCTATAACAATGGAAATGCTGAGTTACACAACAATGTTAAGTTGGATTCCAAATAATATTTATGACAAATTTTGATAAAAACAAACACCATTTATACTCCTACAAGTCCTGCAACCAAAATAGGTACCATCTTTGTTTTGCAATAAACTCTAGGAGCCAACACATGCTTTATTTGGTAAAAAGGGCTTATCAGAATACAATTGATCTTTTGTGTAAGGATTTCTACCAAATTGTGACCAATGAAGGTACAGTTATCAACCCTTACTTTATACTATAACTACATATTATTACATATTCACATACACACCAGCAATGAGACAATGTTCCCTTACCTTATTCCAGTTAATCCGCTTGGTCTGAGCTCCAACCTCATACTTCTTCTTGGGCTGCATTCCATGTGGTAGAGCATTGACAGGTGGGGACGGAGCAGCTGGACTGAAGGGAGGAGGGGGCGCCCCTGGAGGTCGTGGAGTCCCTGGGGGAGGTGGAGGTGGAGGAGGACCACCCATTCCAGGTGGAGGGGGTGGTGGTGGAGGAATACCACCTCCCATACCAGGAGGCGGTGGTGGTGGAGGGGGAGGGGGACCACCACCCATACCAGGAGGTGGTGGAGGAGGGGGAGGGGGAGGAGCACCACCCCCAGGGAATGGAGGAGGGGGAGGTGGAGGTGGTGGGGGTCCACTCCCTGGGCCACCCAATGCTTTTGAGTTGCTGATGGTATTTCCTATTCCCAGTCGCAGCTGCAATATAAAGAAAAAATCTAAAATAATACTTATTCTCCAACCCGACAAAACGATAAATCAAAGTATCTTCAATTACATCTATCTGGCTATACCTACAAATTTTTGAGGTAGAATCCTGAATTTTGACCATGATTTTACACCTTCATTATATGTAAACAGTCCTTTTAACATTTATAATTTTCAAAGTCCATTCCCTCCCTAGACTGTCTTGTAACATCCAATGTTTATCAATGTTGCATTTTGTTTTCCTTGACCATTTCACCATAGCCATGATCTCGTCAATACAATATCTTATTTTTTATTTACTAACAATAAACTTATTATTTTCGACCAGGTATCCTTCATTCACATTAGATCATTAATTACATTTATATGTCATAATTTAGTAATAACAATTAATGTACTCGAGTATGACATTAAAGAAAACACCTGCTTACCCATAGTTACATATGTTAATTTTTTGTTTACTTTTTATTTTATGAATATGTTAATGCCATACTTAGTTACTATGAATTTGATGACTGTTATTATTATTTATTTATATTTTCTACTAAAAACCCAAACCTCTTATGCTTAAAACATGTTTATTCAAATAAACAATTTTAAAGATTCAAATAATGTATCAAGTTTTATTTTTCTATTTAATACAATTTTGGGTTTTCGATATAAAATTGACAATTACACAAAATTTCATGAGAACACGTCAGAACCAAGAGCATGACACTACAAACACTAGGCACCTATAGGGGTCTACAATGGTGGTATTTTAAAGCAAATAAGGGTGCAATTAACCAGGTTGACATATCCCTCGACCAGTACAGGTAACTATATGAAATAGCATAGAAGTTATCAGAAAAAAAAACAAGCATTACTTATTTCAGATTATGCTGGGTATGCAAGTAATTTATCTGTCCTGTGATACAAAACACCTAACTGGTGAAGTACAGAAATCTTTTTTTAACTCTAGTTAGTAATAGAGAAATGACAGAATGAATTATATAATCTTATTACCACAATATCAACTGTGTAATTCTCAAAGAGGATAAGGCATTGTCAACGATGTATTTAATCTAAGGTGCATGATGAAGGAGACCAAACCCAAGTTACATAAATTTGATCAGGTCCTGTCCGGTTATCTGTAAATGGTTGACATCTACCAGCAGTAGTATCTATACATTTATTGGGCAGCAAAATTTGCATTCTTATTTTGATGTTATAAATAAAAAAATATTTGAATAATTCTACATGCACATGCAAGTAGTACATCATGATTTCTTATGAAGATATGTGTTCATTATATTCAGATCAAGAGTTATAAAAATGGAGCATTTCTTCAAAATCAAACATTAGGGAATGGTTATATTTTGAAGTAGCTTTGCATTACGTTATCATTAAGTGGTTATAGTGACAAATTGTAAATGCAGCTTGTGTAATTCAGGAGTATCATTCATTGTTTTTATAGGTCTACTGCAGGAATAGGACATGTGAGATGTGATTCTCTTAACAGTTAATAAGAATATTCTGAGTAAAAGACTCCGATTTTCAGGGAAAATCTATCCAGTACAGTGGTGTGGTCAACAGAGTCTGGCAGTTACTTTGAAGAGTTACGTCCCTTCCAAATGTTTAATATGCCAATGATTGTAATGAAAAGATTGATAGTAACATGTCTGTACAGCTGTGTTGGTACATATTAGCCGAATAGTATGATGTGAATGACAGTTACATAAAATACCATATAAGGTATTTTCATATTAACATACAAAAATATGTAGCTTAAGTGCCAACATGAGTCATTTACAAAATAAACTATAATGATGCTAGGTTTGTTTTAGTTCATTTTGTTGAATCGGTTAGTAAACTCTAGATATGGCAAAACAACCATACATTACACACGCACTATCACCAAGATGGATGAAGTCCTTTTCTGGGGAAATTTACATGAAAAACCAAACTCTATAATAAAGATGTGATGTCTTGTTGTGGTTTATAATATCTGAATCTTATCATTTTCCTTCATTTTCACATCAGATGAAAGTTATGGCAGACAGCAGAATTTGATCTAGATTTTAGGTTAGAAAAGAAAAACATTCCAATCATTTAAAGAAAAAAATTTAAGACGGCAAAAATTAGTCATACCATCCATATTATGACAGAATTACAGATAAACAATCATAGCATTAATATATACATCCATCTAGTGGCAGTAAATACAACACCAAATGGTTGAGGTTTGAAAGCCAGTCTCTGAAAGTCAAGGAGTGATAAGCATTATTGTATAGCATGCTAAAATACAGAACACTAAATGAATGGTAGTCCCTACCAGCTGTGGTATGAAGTCAAAATTTGTGACAATTAATAACCCTTTAATTTCTCTTCTCTTTTTGTTATCTTCTTCTGGCAAAATTTACTATCATATTAAGATATAACATTGCCAATGTCCCTATCATGGGATATTTCTTTCAGCCAAATGTAAAAATGTGTACCTTCAGAAAGGTAATGTGCTTCTGAACTTAATAGACTTTCAGAAAATATATTTTTTTCCCTCACAAATTACTGATAATTTTTTCTCAATGTTCATTGACGTCACAGCTGGTTAGGTTTTTAGGGTGATGCCATGCATGACGTCCGTACTACCTCTGCACAAGGACCATCAATGGTACTGGAACTGGAGATGGAGCTGCTACTAACACTAGTTATTTGATACAACTTTACCTGTGGAACATGCAAGGAAGCAAAGGAAATGTTACCACAATGTAATATAACAACACTGATCTGTTAGTGTCCTGTCCACTCTTAATGTCACAATTATTGTACCATTCATGTGATATACATAGACAGAATAACATTCAAATAAATCATATGGAATTATTCAAAATTGCTTTTCAAAATTAGATTATGAAGAGACTGACAAAAAGGATTTTTAATCCGTCTTTTCATTTCTATAATTACTTCTATTCAATTTGAAAAGTATATTACTTCATGTATTTCCTATAGGAAAAGCTAATCTGGAACCATTGCACAATAACAAAACTTTATCACTAAATTTCTCTGATCAATCAACTCAATGTTAAACTATACACGTCACAAAAATTAGATATTAAGCTTTTTCATTCAGATATTAAAAAAAGACTTAAGCCTAAAAATGGGATATTTATAATTTAGTAGTTCACCCTGAATTTTATATATTAACATGCGTTATCATTAATTATCTTTGATTAATTATTCCACAATAAACATACCCTAGTATGAAGTTATTAGACAAAAGATGAAATGGTAATTAGTACTAATCAGAGTGTGTCTAAAAAACGCAAACTATAACTTTAGTTGTCAAGTCACTATTAGACAGACAAAGACACAGGTATTTCAATTGAAACACCAATCTATCAATTAAGCAACTGCACATGAACAAATCGTTCTATTTGATATGATCTATATTGAGGAGTATGAAGAAATGCATCAAAGAGATAAATCACAGACTTTATAACCCTTTAATTTCATAAATTAAAAATAAATTTTACTTTATGTTTGCTTTTGCATATTTACACAACAGGTACACTTACATTGTCTTTATGAAATTGAAACATGATCAAATTCCTGATTAGTAAAGATTTGTGGCAAATAAAAATAAAAAAATATGTGCTTATTGGCAGAGCTTACCATCAGAGCTTACAGGAAGAGCTTACCAATAACATAGCATTCATGTCACTTAGTTTGTTAATTATGTTGGATTAGTGACTGTATTTTCAGGCCAACCCAGTTATACAGTGTTCATTAGTAGTTGTAGTCAAACCATGCTGTGAACTATAAATGCTGCAGGAGCCTTATTTGTAGTAGACTTTGACTTTTGTAACTTTTTTCTTGAATCAAGAAATTTTTTAATAGGCTCTCAAAAAGACCAGTAGAAAAAGCATTCAGAAATTTCACTGGTAAGTGTATGTATCATAGAATCACAGACTTGAATGATGTCCTTATAAACTCACGATTTTATGCCTCTCATTTTACTTATCATCTCACCAAACACTCATGTATTGCAAGCCATTTCTTTTATGTTGTGAAGCTTTTCAATTTCAAGTAAATTTTTTTTCTATTTTTTTTTTAGATGACTTAATATACATAAGGAAATAACATAACACATCCCCTTATCCCATTAGTTGTTGTCGAATTGATTAATGTCAAAATATCTTGTGAGATGCTAGTGATTTAGAATATACAGCCAAATTATAATGACAATAAATTTATAAACAAATGCAGGCAGTATGACAAGACTTTACTGGTGTCACTTTGTTCCTTATAGCACATAATATTTCTATCTAAACATGCACCCAACACAACACTCCGTATATATATATAAAACAAACATACACAGGACCTGGAAGCTTTAGTGATTTTTACCATATAAGGCCATTTAATATTCCAGAATCCCAGTGACTTACTTTCTCTTTCATTGCCACAAGTTCCTCCTCGTATTTTTTCACCCTCTCCTCTAACGTCATTGCGCGAGCCTCGTACTCCTGTTTAGCAGTTATGGCTGTTTCTAATTTAGAGTTCATTTCAACAATACTGACTTCTGCATCCTCGAATTTGGATTTATCTTCCAGACTGCCTGTAGAAATAGAATTGTCATGACCTGATTACAATAGCTTAAGTGACATGATTCTTAACACAATACTCTAAAATCATCAATTTTTGTGGTGGTTTAATTTTCACCGATTTCTGAGATAAACCACTGATTCATATGTTTGTGAAATGATACAGTTACAATTTCACATAATTTGTTTACTAGTCAATTTCCTAAATACTATCTATCAACAAAATCAAGTCAACAAAAAAGTTATTTTCTTAAAAATAAACCCATGAAATTTGATTCCATCCTCCCCCATCTCAGATACAAAATACATTTTTCTGTTTAAAAGTATCATCAGTTTCAATATTTAGTTCAGTTTACAAAAGTAGGACACTGTAATACAAAAGAAAGTTATGATATCACACAGGTAAATAATTCTAGAAGTATATTGTGTATATCCTCCATCAACAAATTCACAAATCAAAATTGATTATATTTTCCTTTTTGCTGGCAGACTGAACAGTCCTCTGTGTACAGACTTACTTAGAAGAGGGTCAACATCCACATCAAAGCGTATTGTGTGTCTAAAATCGGGATCAGTTCCTGAACGATGTAGAACAATCTGGGTCACGCATTCCTCTATTAACTTGTAGTATTGTGGCCTGGAGTGATACAAGTTACAAACGACTGAGATTCAGAGATTAACAATGGGTAATACCAGTGTTGATTTTTATTGCATATCTTATAGGTAAGCAAAGACATTAAAGCAGTAATCTGTTTAATGATCGAGCTTTTCTTGCTTGCTAAGAGTAATTTTACAATTGTTTCAAATCAACATTAAGATATACTTCAGCTCGATGAATCACTCCTATTTATCTTTCACAATGGTGATATTCAATTGTCATAGATACTGAGTATAAAGATGGAATGACTCAGTTTACTTAAAAAAATCCATTTATATTTATGCTTTGTGAAGTTTATACTTAATTATAATATTGATGGGTGTTGAGTTAACAATTATATATATGTACTGATTAAATCTATAAAGAATCACTTGCACAAATTTTCTCACTCATTAGAAGTTTTCTCTTAATCGCCCTCTTGCTTTCTAACAAATACATGTACCATGATATTTATTGTACAGATACCTAGAGTAAACATCATCCCGGATACACAGAAGATGCTGCAAGATAGACAAGAAGTAAGGCTCAGCCACCGTATCCTTCACAGAGTTAGCCACCAGCTCAAAACACTGCCGTGTATCCCTGGTAACGCTCAGGAAATATGTCAAAACCATCAGGGATACCTATCACATCTATATTACTTACAAGTTATTTGATTTCTTACCTTCAGTGGTGGGAATTAACAAATTCATTTTAATTCGACATAAATTAACACTATCATTGATTCATACATGACTTAATTCGATATGAATTATAACTACCAACAGTTTCATAAATGACACATCTTTACCTGTTCTTTAAAAGAAAATAAATTTTGTGTTTGGATCAATGAAGAGATATAACATTTTGACGTTTAACAGCTGTGGAAGGATACTCAAACCCTATCCTAACATTATCATATCTGTGTGAAAATTCTTCAAAGTCTTCTTCTTTGTGGTCATGGAAAATCTGTACGTGTGTCTTTAGTTCATGGTCCTCCTGATTATCTAGCCACTGAAAACAGACATTTTTGGTACAAAGTTTCACTTCTTTGTTAATATATACACATAATAAAAAAGGTAAAAATGTCTCCTCATCTGTATACTAGGTATATAAGCATATTCACTAATTGAATAAAATCATACTTCACTGTAAGTATTTAATGGCTATTTCGTTATCTGCTGTTGTTAAGGATGATAAAATATAATCTTTCATGATTATTACCAGGTATTATGAAATACATCTGAGCTGTTAAAAATGTGTAAAATTTAAGATTACTGGGTGTTTTTGGACTTTTTTAATCATTTACATTTAGAAAGAATTGGTGTAGTTATTCCACGATATCAAATTTACAAACCATACAAAATTTTATAAGTAATAATCTTTACTTGTCAACCAACATATGATCTGCAATCTGTGTATTTGATTTGCTCACTAGCAAGATCAGCATATTGTCTCCTATTAATGATATAAAGTGTGTTTCCCTAATTTAATCAACAGTATCAATCTGAGCCTAATGTCTGCAGTGAATTCTGATTTCAGTGACAGCTTTTGATACTGACAAGCTTTAACCTATGACAGACTTAAATATCTTATGATGTCAATTTACTCCTTTTTCCTTTACCTGAATTTATATTATTAAAGTCAGGTTTTCTTGTACTGAAATGTGTGCCTTACCCCAATGAGGTCTATAAGCCCAGTTCGCATTATTTCGTTGCGGAGGTGTATTCTAAAATCTAGGTCATCCGGGGTACTGATGATGGCATTCACTAGCTGTATGCAGGCTACTTGCATTGGCTGGTTGTCTCTCATACCCAAACCCATAATGATAGGAATGAATCGATCCCTTGCACGGATCTCCCCACACACTGTGATACCTTCCAATGCCTTCCCATGGCTGTCAACAAACAAAGACATTCAGCAATTACAAGCCATTGTGGAATGTCATTTTGATTTTGTGTCAATGATAAACTTATTGCTTCTTCTTCTGAAGTGTAAATGCTAGGACTCATTAAGCAATACAAAGAAAACACTTAAAGAACAGCTGTCATATATTAAACATACATTTGCATGTAGATTGTAACCTTGCACTTTCACTTTGATCAACATGCCACACAATTTCCAGTGACCTATATTTCCAGAATCTTTTGATCTTAGAGTCACATGTCTACATATACAGATGGGAGTGACCCATATTTCCGAAATGTGAACTAGCATATTTACATGTCTACATATACAGCTAACAGTGACCTATATTTTCAAATTTTAATCTTATACATTTAACTGTCTACACATCCAACTGCCAGTGACTTGAATTTCGAGACTGTGACTTTACTTTTTAATATGTCTACACATAAAGTTGGCAGTGACCTACATTTCCAAATTCTGACGATACACATTCACAAATTAACATGCATGCTGGCAGTGATAAAGATAATGATCTTAAACTTTCACATATTGTCGACATATACAGCTAGTTGAGACAGAGTATGAGAACTCACCCATCTGGGGGGACCAGACACACGGCAGCCAACAGTCGCACTGCCTCCAGCATGGTATTGGGGTCGGAGGGGTCAACTGTTCGGGATAGTATCGTCAGAGCCTCTTCGTGGTTTATTATATTCACTAATCCACACTGTTAAAAGACGTACCAAATTAATGGCTGTTGAATACTACATGAGTATATGAAGAACTGTATATTAATCAAATGTGCCACCCAACCACCCTGAAGAAGCTCTACACAGGAACCTAAAGTAGTTATATATAGGAGCCTTAAGTGTGAAAATTAAAAAAAGCTTGCTTGGTAACCAATCAAATTTTATTAAGATTTTGACTCAACATTGTTTCATGACCACAAACATAAACAAAAAATGAATAATCGTAGTTGATATACTGAAAGTTTCATTGTTAAGTTGAAGACATGTCTTAAAACAGCCTACCTCTGACAACTTCATAACTAACCTTGTTATTCATGTAGGCTTTCAGACATCGTACACACTCATAGGTACTTTTTCTTTCTGTTTTACTGAAAGACAGAAAAAATTTACACAACACATCATAGTAAAAACTATATCAGGCTAGAATGTTGTACATGTTCTTACTAAACAGACATGTAATTTCATCAATGAAATCAAAAAAAGATGAACATTCTAATGAAAGAAACAACAAGTATGTTGCACAGATGTTGCACTAGAGTTATCGTGAATTATGTCTTTGCTTACTGCCTTTCAGTTTTACTATCCTTAATACCTTTGACAAAAAACTGTATCTGTTTGGAATAAATTTGACATTGAAACTTACGAATCACAACAATATGTCAGATTCCTCAGGATGGCATTCAGGCCATTCAGTCCAAACTCACTAACCCAGCTGAAACAACAGACAAATTTATCATCAATATATATAGAAGTTCATACAAACATTAGCAGTCAGATTAAATGTCTACCAGGTGCTTAGACTTCAGAGAGTGATTCTTAAACAGGTACATGCTGGACAACGTTAAATACAAACAATGTTGTTGGTCATTATACCTGTATGGGTTATTGTGAGTGACATTCTCACAGACTACAGACCTGACAGGGTTATTGTGAGTGACATTCTCACAGACTACAGACCTGACTGGGTTATTTGTGAGTGACATTCTCACAGACTACAGACCTGACTGGGTTATTTGTGAGTGACATTCTCACAGACTACAGACCTGACAGGGTTATTTGTGAGTGACATTCTCACAGACTACAGACCTGACAGGGTTACTTGTGAGTGACATTCTCACAGACTACAGACCTGACAGGGTTATTTGTGAGTGACATTCTCACAGACTACAGACCTGACAGGGTTAGGGTTTTTTGTGAGTGACATTCTCACAGACTACAGACCTGACAGGGTTATTTGTGAGTGACATTCTCACAGACTACAGACCTGACAGGGTTATTTGTGAGTGACATTCTCACAGACTACAGACCTGACAGGGTTATTTGTGAGTGACATTCTCACAGACTACAGACCTGACAGGGTTATTTGTGAGTGACATTCTCACAGACTACAGACCTGACAGGGTTATTTGTGAGTGACATTCTCACAGACTACAGACCTGACTGGGTTACTTGTGAGTGACATTCTCACAGACTACAGACATGACTGGGCTATTTGTGAGTTACATTCACACAGACTACAGACATGACTGGGTTACTTGTGAGTGACATTCTCACAGACTACAGACCTGACTGGGTTATTTGTGAGTGACATTCTCACAGACTACAGACCTGACAGGGTTATTTGTGAGTGACATTCTCACAGACTACAGACCTGACAGGGTTATTTGTGAGTGACATTCTCACAGACTACAGACCTGACAGGGTTATTTGTGAGTGACATTCTCACAGACTACAGACCTGACAGGGTTATTTGTGAGTGACATTCTCACAGACTACAGACCTGACAGGGTTATTTGTGAGTGACATTCTCACAGACTACAGACCTGACAGGGTTATTTGTGAGTGACATTCTCACAGACTACAGACCTGACAGGGTTATTTGTGAGTGACATTCTCACAGACTACAGACCTGACAGGGTTATTTGTGACAGGGTTATTTGTCTACAGACTGACAGGGTTATTTGTGAGTGACATTCTCACAGACTACAGACCTGACAGGGTTATTTGTGAGTGACATTCTCACAGACTACAGACCTGACTGGGTTATTTGTGAGTGACATTCTCACAGACTACAGACCTGACTGGGTTATTTGTGAGTGACATTCTCACAGACTACAGACCTGACAGGGTTATTTGTGAGACATTCTGACAGGGTTATTTGTGAGTGACATTCTCACAGACTACAGACCTGACTGGGTTATTTGTGAGTGACATTCTCACAGACTACAGACCTGACAGGGTTATTTGTGAGTGACATTCTCACAGACTACAGACCTGACTGGGTTATTTGTGAGTGACATTCTCACAGACTACAGACCTGACTGGGTTATTTGTGAGTGACATTCTCACAGACTACAGACCTGACTGGGTTATTTGTGAGTGACATTCTCACAGACTACAGAGACACTGACAGGGTTATTTGTGAGTGACATTCTCACAGACTACAGACCTGACAGGGTTATTTGTGAGTGACATTCTCACAGACTACAGACCTGACAGGGTTATTTGTGAGTGACATTCTCACAGACTACAGACCTGACAGGGTTATTTGTGAGTTACATTCTCAAAGACTACAGACCTGACAGGGTTATTTGTGAGTGACATTCTCACAGACTACAGACCTGACAGGGTTATTTGTGAGTGACATTCTCACCGACTACAGACATGACAGGTTTATTTGTGAGTGACATTCTCACAGACTACAGACCTGACAGGGTTATTTGTGAGTGACATTCTCACAGACTACAGACCTGACTGGGTTATTTGTGAGTGACATTCTCAGAGACTACAGACCTGACTGGGTTATTTGTGAGTGACATTCTCACAGACTACAGACCTGACTGGGTTACTTGTGAGTGACATTCTCACAGACTACAGACCTGACAGGGTTATTTGTGAGTGACATTCTCACAGACTACAGACCTGACAGGGTTATTTGTGAGTGACATTCTCACAGACTACAGACCTGACAGGGTTATTTGTGAGTGACATTCTCACAGACTACAGACCTGACTGGGTTATTTGTGAGTGACATTCTGACTACAGACCTGACTGGGTTATTTGTGAGTGACATTCTCACAGACTACAGACCTGACAGGGTTATTTGTGAGTGACATTCTCACAGACTACAGACCTGACAGGGTTATTTGTGAGTGACATTCTCACAGACTACAGACCTGACTGGGTTATTTGTGAGTGACATTCTCACCTGACAGGGTTATTTGTGACTACAGACCTGACAGGGTTATTTGTGAGTGACATTCTCACAGACTACAGACCTGACTGGGTTATTTGTGAGTGACATTCTCACAGACTACAGACCTGACAGGGTTATTTGTGAGTGACATTCTCACAGACTACAGACCTGACAGGGTTATTTGTGAGTGACATTCTCACAGACTACAGACATGACTACAGACTGACAGGGTTATTTGTGAGTGACATTCTCTACAGACCTGACTGGGTTATTTGTGAGTGACATTCTCACAGACTACAGACCTGACTGGGTTATTTGGGTTATTTGTGAGTGACATTCTCACAGACTACAGACCTGACAGGGTTATTTGTGAGTGACATTCTCACAGACTACAGACCTGACAGGGTTATTTGTGAGTGACATTCTCACAGACTACAGACCTGACTGGGTTATTTGTGAGTGACATTCTCACAGACTACAGACCTGACTGGGTTATTTGTGAGTGACATTCTCACAGACTACAGACCTGACAGGGTTATTTGTGAGTGACATTCTCTGACAGACTCACAGACAGACCTGACAGGGTTATTTGTGAGTGACATTCTCACAGACTACAGACCTGACAGGGTTATTTGTGAGTGACATTCTCACAGACTACAGACCTGACAGGGTTATTTGTGAGTGACATTCTCACAGACTACAGACCTGACAGGGTTATTTGTGAGTGACATTCTCACAGACTACAGACCTGACAGGGTTATTTGTGAGTGACATTCTGACAGGGTTACAGACACTACAGACCTGACAGGGTTATTTGTGAGTGACATTTCACAGACTACAGACCTGACAGGGTTATTTGTGAGTCACACAGACTACAGACCTGACAGGGTTATTTGTGAGTGACATTCTCACAGACTACAGACCTGACAGGGTTATTTGTGAGTGACATTCTCACAGACTACAGACCTGACAGGGTTATTTGTGAGTGACATTCTCACAGACTACAGACCTGACAGGGTTATTTGTGAGTGACATTCTCACAGACTACAGACCTGACAGGGTTATTTGTGAGTGACATTCTCACAGACTACAGACCTGACAGGGTTATTTGTGAGTGACATTCTCACAGACTACAGACCTGACAGGGTTATTTGTGAGTGACATTCTCAGGGTTACAGTGACACTACAGACCTGACAGGGTTATTTGTGAGTGACATTCTCACAGACTACAGACCTGACAGGGTTATTTGTGAGTGACATTCTCACAGACTACAGACCTGACAGGGTTATTTGTGAGTGACATTCTCACAGACTACAGACCTGACAGGGTTATTTGTGAGTGACATTCTCACAGACTACAGACCTGACAGGGTTATTTGTGAGTGACATTCTCACAGACTACAGACCTGACAGGGTTATTTGTGAGTGACATTCTCACAGACTACAGACCTGACAGGGTTATTTGTGAGTGACATTCTCACAGACTACAGACCTGACTGGGTTATTTGTGAGTGACATTCTCACAGACTACAGACCTGACAGGGTTACTTGTGAGTGACATTCTCACAGACTACAGACCTGACAGGGTTACTTGTGAGTGACATTCTCACAGACTACAGACCTGACAGGGTTATTTGTGAGTGACATTCTCACAGACTACAGACCTGACTGGGTTACTTGTGAGTGACATTCTCACAGACTACAGACCTGACAGGGTTATTTGTGAGTGACATTCTCACAGACTACAGACCTGACAGGGTTATTTGTGAGTGACATTCTCACAGACTACAGACCTGACTGGGTTACTTGTGAGTGACACTCTCAGAGATTCTAGCACTCTCAGTCTTTTCTCTCCTTTCAGATCTGCATTCCTTAATTCAGTTACAAAACTTCCAGGACTGTCTAGGTCACCACCTTTCTGTAAAGAAATAATTGAAATAGGAATATTACATAAGGTAATGAGACAGGAAATCATACCTGTCCACACTTTGTTTAAAAATAAAACTAAATTGGTGACAACTGGATTATAAATGATTTTAGTTGAACTACAGTTTGTGTCTTTATTGGCTTTGTTTCTGTACGAAACTCTGATCAAAAGCTGACTACATAATCATAATCCGTTTAATTCTTCATGATCATTACCTTTTGCAGACTTTCCTGAAATATTCTTTATAAATATTTAATCTGTTCAATGTTGCTCTCATATGTTTCACTTCTATCTCTCATTTTCTAACATCTTTATAATAGATACTTTTAAGATGACCTTGTTCTGGCCTATTGTCTTATACTGTGACCCCTTCGACCTTTGCGACCCTCGTAACCTTTCCTGATGGACAGTTTGTAGTGACCTGGCTATAAGATAAATTACCTTGACTGCACCTTTCCACTGCATGGCCAACATAGATCTCTTGAGATTGAGGTCTTTACTGCGAAGAGGGGCCTTCTTTTCTTCAGTCAAGTTCATGTCATCCTGGAAAATACAACCAAGGTTAAATTGTTTGAATGTTTTTACCTAAAAGATTGGTAATTTTCAATATGCGCTGGTCATAATATCAAAGTGGGTCATGGAATATGACCTTGAACTCAAACTAATTAGTTCACAAAATTAGATTGAACAGCATCAGAGTCTCTTCTGTTCAGATGGAAATACCTAATACAAGTACATAGTATTTACAGAAAAATTACAAAAATAATTTCAATTTGATTAAAGCCAGATCTAAATTTCACTCTGTAAGTCACACTACTTAAATTAACATAACATTGTGTACATGTCCAATTGAAATATAGATCTGGTTTTAATAAGCAATAATTTACTTAACCATACAATTGTTACTGTAAATTCATATATTTCTGTGGTGTTAAAATTTCGTGGATTTCCAAAAACAGTTTTAATGACATTTGATTTTGTTGATAAATCTTGCTCACAAAATCCACTAATACGATAATCCATGTCAACTTTTATCTACTTATCATTTCATGGCCATCTATTTGTGAGTTTTCAGAGCCCTCGAAAATAAATCCACCACGAAAATTGATGATTTTAGTTGGACAACACATTAATTACTCTTTTGAGAAGAAAAATAAAATATCTTTTTTATCTCACTTATATTTCATTGATCTAGTGACTGCATTTATCCTGTAATGAGCCCAAGGACAAAACATGTTTGACTTTAATGAGGTGAACTTATTCAAGCTAACATATCAGCCTATATACAACAGAGACCATTGTAAACATTTTACTAGAAATCTATAGTACAAAACTAGTCAGCTGCAAATAACCCCATTTGCTGGTCTTTGTATGGCCCTAAACACCTTGTAGTACTGAAGTTACAAACCTTCATTTCCTATCTACTCAAAAATTCTTTCGGAACTTTTTCAATTAAACGGGGCCATACATATGAATTTCAACACTACACATAATAGAAAAGGAGATCAGGTGACATGTCTCATGTTCATCCCGTCCGTATCCAGTGTAAACAGGCTGTATTTGATCCCTATATCGCTAACTCACATGTCCATTAGGAACCTGCTGGTAGCATGAGGTTACCCAGGTATGGAGACCTACCACTGTTTTATAGGCCACTGTGACTTCCTGATCTTATTCAACAGACACCTTATACTGTCAAACAGTCATTTCTGAAGCAGTTTAGTTACCTTCATAGCATAAACATCTCATCTGAATTCTGTCTACCACAACAAATATTCTACAATTTTTTTAACACAAACTAGAATTTATATCGGGATTGCTGATTATACACCCACCCTTCTGTTCCTTTTCTCCCTTGAAAAAATTGAAAAATGCTTGTGTACAAGTACAACAATCATTTATCATGGAACCATTGTATTTGTCATTCCCACACACCACTAGGCTATATTCAGAAGAACCAGGTAATGTCTAACTTTACACTAATCAGAAGCTTCTGTTGTGTTTCCATGGTAAGCTATCTCTAATATATCACTGGTTATAAGTTATGATATGTTACCTCATTTGAACAAGTTTTTGAAATAAATCAATTCAATGGCTAAGGAGTTATGGCCCCTTGTACAATAATGTGTATGGTGTGGGGTTACCATGGCAATCACTATTTTTTGGAGAAAAAGATTGATGAATGTACATATACATATATGGTCCTTCTTGCTTCTGTAAAGCTTAAATTGAAGTTGGTTTAGAAGTTTAGGTTTTGTCCACTGTGAATTCCTCCCCACTGAGGCCATCAGTTGGTTTAACTATGGCAACAACCATCTCATTTTCAATCTTCCTAAACCTTTTCGTACTAACTTTCAGCTCGATCAGACATAATTCAGAATAAATTATATAAGGAAAATTTCATATTTATGAACTGACTACATGTATAAACATATACACAGTAGACTGTGTAAACATAGGCCCATAAACAACATGTAATTACCAGTACTGATTAGAGCAGTTAAAAGCACTTAATAATGTTGTCATATGACATTTACGACAGGCAGTGTGCCAGTTGTCAGCAAAAACAGTCTGACTGCCGAAAATATCACTGACTCATAGGACCTGTAATAAAAAAAAAATGAAAAGAAATAATAAATACGAATGAATGGACACACATGATAAATCATAACTCAGCCCTTTAAATATATTCATGGATTTTTCCTTTAGTTTTTATTGATTTTTTTTAAACAACAACATGGCTTCAAATCTAGTAAACTTTGTATATATATAAACCTTGCATTCTTTCTGAGGTTGCACTTTGTTTCCTGGTAATTTTATATATATATATTTGTAACACTTGGTAGTTGTACCTGGAGGCAGCTGGTATTTTCATTTTCCTTGTATCACAAGATACACTGCAGTAGCATGTACTGCACTCTGTCACGTTTGATAGCTGTGACATCACCTACTTGTATGTTGACAGAACCTAACTGACTCACTTCAGATACAGTTTTTGACAATGTCATACTGGTGTTCTGTGATGTGGTTCTAATTTTATACTGGTGATGTGTACCACTTCGATTCAGCCACACAATCTTTTATTGCTTAATCCTAAAAGGTCAACACTCAGAAGTGACCTATTTAAAACTGACCGCAGATTACTATCAACATATCCTAGAGTTCATCGTGATAATATTTATTGTCACATAACTCCACCATGTACTACAATGAATCCACAGATAAAAAATCACAGGGTTGACCATAATTGCTCTGACCTGACGTTCACTTAAAAAAAAAAAAATAGAAAATGTCTGTAAGACATGAATGCCCCCGCCCCCCCATGTGAAATAATAGTGAAAGGTCCAAAGAGATGATTTTGTTAATTTGTATGCAACTATGTACAACTTAAGTTTCATACTTAAATTGACAAGTTGATTTAACGTACATGAATTTGGAATTTTGTTCTCTGGAAAAAATGAGGGAGTATATTAGTTCCTTATGCCTTAAAACCCACAAGTACCAAATTATGTAGAAATAAGATGATGTTCCTCTTTTTTGAGTTATCTCCCCCTGGTGGCCATCTACTTTTAGAATGGCGAGAAATTCAACACTGCATGAGGTCTTTCCATTCTTGATATTTGTATGAAGTTTCATGAAAATTGCCTTCCGAATGAAGTTGTTAGGTGGTATATACTGATTTGGGATGGGACGCGACGGGAAGGGACGGGACGGGACAGACGGACATGGGCAACGCTATATGCCCCTGGCTATAAATGGCGGGGGCATAAAAAAATCTGTAACTTTTATGAAGCATTTAAGTCAAATACACAAGATATATTATTAGTTTAAAAGTGAAAGACTGCTAATCAAAGCAGTATCAGGGAAATATTTAGTTTATACAAATTTCATGGCCCTAATAAATTTAGTAACAAATCAACTGTGACCTTGAAGGTTAATCAAGGTCATTCATGTAAATAAATATTGATTCAACTCAAGCATGCTTCAAGCCAACTACGAATTCTCAAGACAGACCCTGTATGAACATCTTAAAATATACTTTATTGCATTTTACAAATCTGACTGTAAAAGTAGGTCAAGGTCATTCACTAAAAAATATTATTGCCAAAATCCAAGCATCTGATGGACATGTCGAAAATTGTGTGATCATCTTTAGAATCGAGGAAACTTTTGTTTTGTTTGACTATGCAGGAACCATTACTAATTAACCTTGAATTCCTGTAAAACTTCAGAAAAAAAGCCTAAATGTATATTACATGTAACAAACAATATTCAATACACTTGTATTTTTTAGCTCTGTTTCACAAAGTCTGATATAATGAGAATTTTTTTAAAATTCAAGGATGAACTGTAATATAACATACATTTTATTAATTAAAAAGGGCTATTTTATTTTGACAAACAATTTTAAAATTGTTGTATGGCAAAATCTTTTAATTGAAAAACAGGACATTGGTATTAATGAAACATAACTGATAAAAACGTGTAAACTTTAAATCAATTTGATCTAATCACTTTAATAGATATCACAGGAAATTCAACTGACAATCAAAGATCATGTAATATTGTATTAGTCAGTGAGCTATAGTATAAAAGCCATCTACCACAGAAGATAAAAGTTTGGATATGTTACAATAATTAAGATGTATCAACAAGTTCTAGGCTATATGTCATTCAATATTGGATTGTCAAGGTTTAATATAATGGCAACACCACAAACAAATGTTTAATTTGCATCCAAAAAATCTGAAATTCAGAAACTGAAAGTTTGTGAATGTGGAAATGATGTCCCGCCTACACAACCACATCCATGTTTGATACCAACATTTGGATTTATCAATCAAATTTATTTGTATTAGATAATACAAGGACATTGGAGTGCCCACTATCAGTCTGATCTACCTGAACATGTACACCACACCTGTGAAATACCTGGACAACTGATTAAATACGAATGATACATTATACAGGAATGTATACACAACGTTTCTCATTAATTTCAGAACTATGATGACAGATCTCTCACTCACAACCAACACTAGGTATCATTGTTTGATAAATTTCTAGAAATAGTAACAATGACCTTAAAACATTTTGATTGACATTTGTGTAAAGTTTAATAAAAACTCCCCCTGAAATAAATTCACCAGATCACCAGCCACTGAATTGGTTAATGGTTTGCTATAAACATAAATGACAACTTTGACTTTGGAACTTTGAAACATGAACATTCTTGTGATTTTGGCATAGCTAACCTTTAGGAAAAATTCAAAATCCCTTGAGAAATTCGCATCACTAGACCGATGAATTGATAGATTATTTTCTGTAAGTAGTAATGACGACCTTGACCTAAGAACCTTGAAAAAGAAACATACATGAGGTATTCACCATTAAGTGATCAAAATCCTTGAAGGAAATTAACATGCTAGAACATTGGCCTTGATTATGAGTGATGTGATAGACACATGGACATAAGTAATATGCCTTCATCCTAAACCTGTAGGGACATAATCAATGATAGAAAAATTCCTAAAGAGAATTAT